TGCACGGCCCACTTCACCAGGCGCCCGGACACATCCATCGACCCTAGTATCGACTTGAGGGGGAGATTTGTAAGCACTACGATTCGGTGAGCCTGAAAGTATGGTCTGAGTTTGTTGGCGGCCATTACCACCGCCAACGCCGCTTTCTCGATAGGCGCATACCTTGTTTCGTGACCCACCATGGTGCGACTCACATAATACACCGGCTTCTCTTCATTCGTCGATGGGTCTTTGGATATGAGGACCGCACTCACAGCGATGTGGGACACAGCTATGTACAAGAATAGCACTTCCCTAGCCTTAGGCGCCGTCATTACCGTGGGCGCCGTGAGCAGCTTCTTCAAATCTTCAAATGCCTCGTTACACTCATTGGTCCATCTGAACTTGCTGGCTTTTTTCAACACTTTGAAAAAGGGGGCGCCACGGTCGGAAGATCTTGGGATGAAACGCCCAAGCGCTGCTAGTCTCCCCGTCAACACTTGCACCTCCTTGGGCGTTCGCGGGGGACCCAAACTCATTATGGCCTCGACTTTCTTGGGGTTGGCTTCAATTCCTCGCCGCGTTATCATGAACCCCAAAAATTTCCCAGCCTCGGCCAAGAACACACACTTCTTGGGGTTAAGCCTTAACCGGAAGCGGCGCATTGTTTCGAAAGTCTCTCGTAAGTCCAAAATGTGGTCTTGGCGCCTGCTGCTCTTTACGATCAAATCGTCCACATATGCTTCCACGTTCCTTCCCAATTGCTTGCGGAAAACTTGGTTTACCATGCGCTGATATGTTGCCCCGGCGTTCTTCAATCCAAACGCCATCACTCTGTAACAGAAATTTCCGAATGGAGTCATGAAAGCCGTCTTTGACATGTCTTCTTCCGCCATAGGTATCTGATGGTATCCTGAAAACATATCGAGGAAGCTAAGCGCCTCGTGATAAGCTGTTGCGTCCACCAACAAGTCAATACGCGGCATGGGGTATGCATCTGTAGGGCATGCCCGATTAAGGTTGGTGAAGTCCACACACATCCTCCAATCTCCGCACGGCTTTGGGACAAACACCACGTTGGAAAGCCATGTGATGTACCTTGCTTCTTCCACAAATCCCGCCTCGAGCAATCTGTCGACTTCTCGGCGAAGTGCCTCCTCCTTTTCTTGTGACAAATTTCGGCGCTTTTGTTGAACAGGCCTCTTTCCTTCTTCTACGGCCAGCCGGTGCACCGCCACCTCAGGGGAGACTCCCGGCATGTCTTGGGCGCCCCACGCAAACAACTCCCCAAATTCCCGCAATAACTCGATCAAAGGCTCTCTCATCACCTCAGGCTCTTGTGCCGATATCCGCACTTGTCTCTCTGGGCGCCCCTCATCCAAGGCCACCACAAGTTCATCATCCATGGGCTCCGCTCTGGGCGCCTCTTCAAAGCGCACTTCAACACTGTTGACTCTATGCTTGCGGACACGGCTCCTTGGTTCCTCTTCTCGCGCGTATCGTGGAACATTCCTTCCTCGGGAGATGCCGATGCCCTGGGGCGCCACAAACTTCAGCGTTTGGTGACAAGTGGATGCCACCCCGTTGAATTGTGCTAGGAGTGGTCGTCCAAGTATCACGTTGTACGGGGAGGGACAATCCACAATCCCGAACTCCACCGTATGTGTCATGCAGTGCATCTCATCGCCTAGGGTCACGGGCAGGCGCACGCACCCGATGACTTGGGCTGGCGCTCCTGAGAACCCAATTAGCACTGAACTCGAAGGACGCACTAACTCAGGCGCTAGCTGCATGCGCTCGAATGTGCTTTTGAAGAGGACGTCCATCGAACTCCTGGTGTCCACCAACATTCTTTTCACCTTGCACCCTGCTATCACCCCTTGAATCTCCAAAGCCTCTTCCGAGGGGACTTGGCACGCTTCCTCTGGCTCTTGGTTGAAATGGATGTGCACCGCTGTCCTAGCTTCCATAGAGGCGGCCCTTAGGCGCCTTGTTCTTTCCAATTTCTCCCTCAAATCGAGGGTGGCTGTTATGGATTCCACCGTCAGCCTGATGCGCCCAGGCTCTCCTTGTTGGTCAACTTCAAACGGCGGAGGGGGTATCACTGGCTCCTGGTGAGTCTTCCTATCATGGTCAACCCCAAGCGGGGGTGGCGGTATCACGGACTCCTGTCGTGCCTTCGGCTCTTCGGGCGCTCTTTGGATCATTGTCGCCTCTGGCGCCGGCCTGGCCACATACGCCCTATGCGTCCTGTCCTCCCCCCTTATTACGAAGTCGTTGAGCATGCCCTTGTCGGCCAAAGTCTGAAGCTCGGCCTTAAGTTGATAGCAATCAGCGGTGTAATGCCCCTTGTCGCGATGGAAGTCGCAGTATCTGTCAAGGTTTTTCTCGTTCGGCTGGCCGCGCATGGGCCCCGGCCATCGTATATGGTAGCCCCTATCCTTCACATATTGCAGCACGTTTTTGAGGGTGTCGTTGTACTCCGTAAAATTCGCGGCACTCCGTGGCACGAGACGCGGTGCCTCTGGCCTTCTCTGCGGACCAAAACTTCCCGACATGGGCATAGGCGCCTGCCTCACCTCCACATCATCGCCCCTTAGGCGTCTCTTTTCGGCCCTTCTTGCTGCCAACGTCTCCTCTAGCATGATCACTTTTTGCACCCTCCAATCCAAGTCCTCAGTGGAAACCACATCCCGCTTCGAAAGGACTCGGCAGAGTTCTTCGCTGGAGGTGCACGCATCCAGACAAACTCCTAGTACCGCTGGTTGGACATCTTTAACCACCATGGCGACAGATATCCATCGATCGTAGAACTCTCTGAGCGCCTCCCCTTCCCTTTGCCTCACTTTGAACAATGCGCCTATGGTCAATGTACGGCGCTTCCGACTGGCGAACTTGGACAAGAAAAACTCGACGAATTGTTCAAAACACTCTATGCGCCCTTCCTCAACCTGATGATACCAATTCAGGACCACCCCCGCAAATGTGGACGGGAACACCTTACACAACGTCGCGTCCGAGCTATTGTATAGTTGCATTTTTGTGAAGTAGCTGTTCAGATGATCTTCTGGGTCGGCCATCCCATCGTAACTGGGCAATGGTGGAATCGTTGTTCCCGCGGGCTCCATTAGAATGCTTCGGGCCAGGGGTTGACGAACGCCGAACCTCCTGGCAACCCTCCTAGGCTCCCACACGTCCTCAGGATCCGTCTGATTATGCTCGACGGGCAGTCTCCAGGCGCGCGGACGTCCGGGCATAGCATGCTCCTGTTCGGTCTGGTGTGGTAGTCCATGTTGCTGGGATACAGAATCTTCCCCCACCCTGTCTCGCTTCCTCCATCCGGGGCTGTACATCATCATGTCTTCACTTCGCTGCCCCTCCAATTCTCTCCTGAGCGCCGCTATGGCCCGATCTTGGTCAGCTATGATTCGAAACAACTCCCTCTTCGTTAAAGAATCTCCCTCGTCTACTGATAGGCGCCCAGGGCTCTCCTGTTCCTCCACATCCATGCTTGCCTCGTGACTCCGCTGGCGCTCGCCCTCCTCCTGATTCGAGTTTCCCGACCTTGAGTTGTCTTCCCCGCCGTTTACGTCATTAACGTCTTTCTTGCCCCCTTCCTGGCGCGCCAATTGTTGAAGCCACGTGACCCTCGAACCTGCTCCTTCGAACTTCCGTACGATGGACTTCCCCACAGACGCCCAGATACTGCACAGATGTACGCCTAAGGGCTTTGAGATGCCCGTTAGCAGTCCAACGCTCAAGTCAGTCCTAAGTTTAAAGAGAGAAGTACTTTGGGGACTTTAGTGAGAGAAACCCACCTGCGTAAATGCTACCTACCGAGTACTATTTATACTCGTCGAGGCCCCGACCAGGCTCCTAGAATCCAGCTCCACGTCAGCGCGTCATTAAATGCTCGGTACGGCCCAACGGTCGGGCGCCTCCACGTGGCAGCTCCTGGGCTCCTGGCGCCTGCAGGGACCACTTGTCCAGGTGGCACGTTCTGAACACTCTGGTCCCCTTTTGTCGCCATGCGCCTATGGGCCGCTGATTGGGCCTTACTCCTTATTTTCATCCCCATCTCCTAAAGCGGGCTTGGGCCTGAGCATCTTGGACGGGCCCATGTCCCCCAATGGTTCACCTATGTATATACCCAACAATTGGCATTGTTGTCTGGGCAACAAATCCTCTTATTTGTTTGTGAGTGTAAGAAAATTCCCAAGGGGTCGTTTGGATTAGTGAATGTGATGAGGGATTTATGAGTGATTTTAAAACAATCTCTCATTATGCAGGATTTTAAAACAATCACTCATTTTTTCTCATTCTTTTCCAAACTCTGCCCCTCCTTTTGTTCTTCCTTTCTTATTCTTCCTTAGGGATTAGGGATGGGTATAATTGTAACTTTAATTTTTAATTAAAATCCTTCATCTATTCCCAAACATGTTATTTGGATCAAATCCCACTTTAAAATACCTGGGTTTTTAATTGAGAGATTTTAATCCAAATCCCTCATTTACACATTCCCTAATCCAAACGACCCCCAAGTGATATCATGCAATTTTTGGTCATGAGACATCTTTCTACATATTGTTTTCTGCATTTACTTTATCACTTTAATTTATAAATTTTTGTCCCATAGGAAGTGAAGTAGAGTGGATTCGCATGATAACATTAACAATAGAAGGTTTTATTACTAAATTCTTTGCATCGATGTCACTGCCTCACCATCACCTATGTTGAAGAGTGGCAAGAAGGAAAAAAATTATCATGGACTTCCCAAAAAACCATCACCTATGTTGAAGAATGAAGAGTCAAAGGTGAACTAGAGAAGAAAAAATGAAAATAAATCTGGCCATAGGCCGGGCTCAAAGCTAATTTAATTGAAGAGGATGGAGTAAAGATTTTCCCCATAAATTCGAGAGGGGGAGGATGACAATTGACAACTGTACTTTCGATTTCTCCATTGAAAATCCAAATATACGATATTTGACCTTTTCAAAATGAGATATTCGAATCCAAATTCCTCATTTCGAAACCGTTAATTCAAATTACCTGGAAAAAAATTTTACACGCATGAAATTTAAATTCTCCCAACTTAACTTGATGATGTACTCAAATTCATAATTCAAAAGACATTACGAATGAGGAACATTGAAAAATATCTCAATCGTCCAAGAGACCCGGAGCATCAAAAGTGTCCATCCACAGCAACTTCAAATCCTAGCAAAACCTGTGGAACTACTTATTCACACTTCCTTCAAGTGCCCCCTGTCCATGGGACTGGAAAAGAGATGCTAACCCACAAAAAAAAAAGTTCTCCAAACAATGTGGAATCGGATTTCGGAACAACTTTTCGTCCCCGAAGAGATCGATCAAGGCCTGAGAGCAATTGCCACGCCGAACTTGGGATGTTTCTCCAAGGCCTTGGTGTCGATTTCCCCAGAAATGGTCATCAGTGACTTCGGTATTACTTCATGCTGCAGAAGTGCTGCAAGTTTCCCATGGTTGTTCAGCTTTCCCTTGATCAGTGTCAAATGGTCAATGGCATGTGAGCCACCAACAGTGAAAGTATTCTCATTGGTCGAAAACCTTCTCATGATCTCACCCACAGCTGCGCTTCTCTTCGACTCGTCCAGATGGTGAGTGTATGAAGCAGTGATGGTATCACCCTTGTCACCCCTATGACAAAGACACACAGCTAGTGAGTAGCGACAGAATTAAATAGTTTATGAACATGCAACAGATGGGCAGAGGGCTTACAAAATAACTGAAGCATAGGCATCTGGCTTTGTTATGCTAATCCCAGCAGTGTACTTGGTGAAACTACCAGAAGTAGTATTGTACCCTGCTTCAGCGCCAAACGCAATGCCTGTGGTACCAACAGTGACTGAAACATCAACTGCTGGAGACTGTTGGTGCAGGGCAACAGCAGAGGTGAAAGTTGCATGGTGATGGGAATATAGAACCTCCAACTGCAAGAAAAGTGGAAAGGATTTATTACAGTGCCAGGCAAACCACTGCATTTGGGTCTCACGTTCTCCTGATATTATGTTTTTACTTTACTCAGAATTAGTAGACATTAATTTCTAGCTTAACCGATTTGACTCCTACCTTGCCAGAGTTATAATCAGGCAACTTAAATGAAACAACTGCCTTTGTTGATGGAAGGATATCACTGAATGTGAGGGTGGTTGCAATCTGTAGAAAACAGGGGAAAAGAGCATGTTATACGCTTAGACGAACAAGAGGTAAAGATTATCCATTATTTGCTGGCTTTAATTAAGTAAGAGAAACATACATTAGATAGCGTATCGACTTTCACATCGAATATGTGGTTCTTGTACTTGTGCACGACACCAATATCTCCCGTGGAGAGTCCACCCTTGTTAGAAGCTGTTGAAGTGAGAGCCTGAGAAACATAATGAAACACACTAAAAATAGAGAACAGATATTGGAAGAGAAAATACAAGAAAGGTTAACAGTTGAGAGTGCATAGTTTTCTTGTCGAGTTCATTGGAAAGAACTAGATAAGAAACAAAGCGGAGATAATATTTAGGCTCGAACCACAAGAGCTAGCATCCTAATGATGAAGGCATTGTTAAAATCAAGGCATGGTGACAAGATTGACAAAACTCCAGGATATCGAGAACCTGGGGAGGGGGTGAATCCCAGCTAAAATGAAACAAAATTCACGCTAGCTAAATGCAAATAGTTAACAAAGAGAATATGGAAAACCGTAGCCAGACCCTAACATGGTTTACATTCTAGCCTTTTTACGCAGAAAAACTGTGTTCAAATTCCTCAATTTAATTTCACCACCCAATTGAAGCTATACGCAGCATACATTGAGATTGATGACAAATAGTCGAAGAGAAGTAAAGTAGAAAAACACACAGTCTCAACCATCAAAGTTGTAAACTGAGACTGTACTCGTGAATGGAGTTCTAAACAATAAGTCTTAATAAATCCCAAGAGGGAAACACAAGACCTCGTATAATTTCTATTTCTGTTACACCATACGTAGCCAAATCGCAGCACTACAAAATGTTTGATATGCTGAGCAAGAGTAATACTGAAAGATTATCAATGCAACCCACGCAACTGTCTTCGTAAAAGGGAACTTCAATTCAATACTTCAACCTCGGCATATAAGGAGAAATGATAAGAGAATTTTAAATGAACAGGGAGAACTGGATCCGCCAATTCAGAGAGAATCGAGCACATCACAACAGCTTGTTTTCCATTGGCAAAAACAGATAGCAGAAAAGATGACAGAGACAATTAGAGGTCTGGCAAACAAAATTTTGCACAAAGTGCAACCCAGAGCAATCGGTTTTCAAGCAGGCCGCAATCGACACAGAGAATTGGAGATTTAACACCATAGATAGCACCTTCTACTGGGAGACGTTCTGTTTTTATTAGAGATCATAAATGGAATCGCAAACCGAATCCTGAACTGGCCTAGCGAAATTCAACTACACAATCACAAGCCGGTAGCATCTGGACCAGAGTGACAAGAAAACGAGTAAGGGCGAGGATCAACATACAACTCCGACGGGGCCACTGTACGTGGAGACGGTGAATTTCTGATCGGAGCTGTATCCCGCCGTCAACAGATCTGCAATTTCAAATACAAAAGGGATTAAGACCTGAGAAAAGAATGACGAACATGGAATTCTGGGCTGGAATCACTCGAGGAAGAGAGATTGAGAGAGGGGGGAGGGAGTTACCTCTGGCCTTCTTTCCGATATTGGCGAAGATATCCGGTCCCTTACTCATGGTGGCCAGAGAGAGAGAGAGAGAGAGAGAGAGAGAGAGAGAGAGAGAGAGAGAGGAGAGGGTGGGTGGATGAGAAAGCGATCGACGGAGGAAAGAGTCGGAGTGAAATGAAACAGATAGAGAGAGGAGCTGAGAGGAGAATTGAGAGAGGTGGTGTGGTGTGGTGGTGGTGGTGATGAGTGGAGATTGGAAACTATAAGCAAGCCACTAATTTCTGTTTTATATTTCCCTATCTCTTATTCGGGAATGCAAAATTCATATGCTACTTTTATAATAAATAATGGTAACAATTTTGGTCAGTAATCTTATAGTCAACAATCATTCACAACATGCTATATCACTATTTATTAAAAGTATCTGAAAATTTTTCCTATAAATTTTAATGGATGATATTTGTTTCGTTTTAAGTTGTAATTTAAATTTTTTCACAATAAATCAGATTAATTGTGCTATTTAAAATGATATCTGCTATTGCTAAAGAATTAGGAGCTTTAAGCATTTGAAAAGCTTTGGAGGACTTTCTGGAGGTTCTCACGATTAGGGGTGAGTGACTCGACTATACTGTCACTCCAGGAATTGGCCAAGTGAAACCACTTCCTAAAGCGTAGTATAGCGGGTTTGGGTTTAATTATCAACCCGGGTCCTAGATGTGATGACTACTCAGTGAATTCTTGTTATCTAGCAATGAAACTGGAGTGCAAGTCTAAACTACCAAACAAACAAAGCAAGTAAACTGGTTGTATTCAAGTTAAAGAGGTCACCCGGATATGGTTCCCCCTAGACTGCAGTTAAGCCGGATTGCAATTACCAAGTTCAGTTTCTATGACAGTTATACTGCGGAAGGTTCTTAAACAGCCTGAAGTCTCGACTAAAGGTCTTCAGACCCTCTCAATCTGACTCTCTAGCGGGCGACTAACCTCCACCGGAGTCGACAGATTGAGGCCCTAAGAACAAAACCTCCACTACCGGAGTAAAACCGGTACAGAATAGTGAGTTGGCTCCTCGACTAAAGTCACCAACTCCCTACCTTAAATCAAGGATACTCTATTAACCTAGGCAGATATTCTCATTCTAGGTTAAAGCAGAAACAACAGGAATTTGATCAGGATTCAAGTCATTCAATCATTAAAACCTCAATCGAATATAATCAATCACAGAATCAGTACTTGGGTTCATACAATCAAAGCCTAACATACAAATCTAGGGTTCTCCATACCCAGATGAATGGGAGAACTACTCCATGGAGAAGAAAGCAAAAGCAGAATCAGACACGGAATTCATACTGCGAAGGATGGATTCCTGCTTCTGGACGTTGATTGGCACTTCTCCAAGCTCAAACTGGCCTCCAATGGTGTTGAAGATCAATCTAGGGCACTTGGGAACTCTTGCTCGTCACTTTCTCTCTCTAGGAACTGATCTCTCTCTCAAAAACTCGAATCCCCTTGAATTGTGGCTGAAATTCTGCTTAAAAGGAGAAAATCCCGACTCACACGGCCAAGGTGGCACGGCCGTGCAGCTCACCCAGTTGCCCGTGTGAGTCAAAACGCATCGTTTCATTTAGTTCGAATTCCAGGCTCTTTGCACGGCCAGAATGGCACGGCCGTGTGGACATCCCCTCTTGCCCGTGTTTGCTCTCGCAGAATGTGGCACGGCCAACCCGGCCACTTGCACGGCCGTGTCGATCCTCTGCTCTGCCCGTGTCTGCTCTCGGCGAAACTCGCACGGCCAGGCCATTCCTTCACACGGCCGTGTGAACATCAGGGCAGCCCGTGTGACCTCCTTTGCGACTTGCCTCGCGCCCGAACTTCGCCCAATCGACCCCGAACTCGCTCCTAAACCTTCATTCACTTGCCAAGACCTGAAATATCACAAACAAGCACAACCTAGCGTGAAATCGGTCTAAAACACGAGAAACCACCTCTCAAACGGTGTAAGAACAGGGGTGAAAACATGTGTAACTAACGGTCTATCAAACTCCCCCACACTTAACCGTTTGCTTGTCCCCAAGCAAACCTAACTCAAACCAATGCAACTCTCCAGACCTCTATGGCAACAAACAACCCAGATCGTAGGTAGAGCCTAGATCATTTAGCAGCTTACGAGGTCAACCGACGCACAAGTCATCTCAAAGTTTCTTATCGAGTCGGCATCATGGCAAACAGTGAACAGAGGACAAATGAATTGTGGATGAAGAGATTCTCAAAAACAAAGGATCATGGACTCACATTTTTCAAGGTGCTCTATTTTCTTCTTGAAGATGGTTGAGACCCCTTTTTTTTCCTGTTTTGCTTGTTTTCTGATATTTTTCTTTTCTTTTCTTTTTCAAGGGTCCCAACCTGCTCTTACCGGCCATGCCAGGAGCGGATGTATCGAGCCTCGTGCGGGGAAAGACATGTAAGGGGGCTGGAGGTAGTAGGTGGAAATTGGGAACGAATTCCCGTCTCCCCTTACACACTTTCGCCCTATTCGCACGGGAGACGTTATTTTAAGCACATTTTCGAGCACCTGTTAAACTCAAAACATGATACAAGAGTCCATGACAGGCAGAGAATCCACAACACCACACAATTCAAGAGTCCTAAGATCACTAATTCACTCAATCAACCAACTCAATATGAAGAAGAAATGAGACTTCTTAAATGCATCAACATCCTCCATAGTGCTACACTACCTCCCTAGGTTGCATATTACTATAAAGACTGTCAATTCAAAGCATACTGAGCAGGCAATTGCAAGGAACACGTACTTGGAGCCCTCAAATTTAAAAATTTGGACAGTGGACTAGGCTCCAAGCACACAAACAGATCTAATGCAGTCAAAAGATAAACATCCCCCCACACTTAAGCTCGACATTGCCCTCAATGGAGAAGAGGGAAGGGAAAGGGGAACGATGTTACCGGTATGCACGGACTGCAGGGGACTGGAAACGGGCCAGTCTGGGCAAGCACAGCCAAAGGGAAACAGAAGAGCTCAAACACAATATGTTAGGTTCAATGGTCAGCCCAATAAAATATCATCCAAACCAAAAGAAAACAAACCAAACCCAAACCGGGTTACAATCCGACTCAAAACACAAGAAAGAAAATCAAACCGTGGTGGGGTTGCCTCCCCACAAGCGCTTCTTTACCGTCGTATTAGCTGGACGCCCATGGTGGATACTCAGGGCGGTGCAGGAACAGGTGCCTCCAAGAGCGGATCCACGTCGCTCTTGAGGTACAGCTTCAGGTTGTGGCCATGCACCCGACGGATGGGACCACTATCATCAGTCAGCTCGACCTGCCCATCTGGCAAGATACAGGCGAGCGAGTACCCAGACGGCCAGGGTGGTCGTGGTGCAGGAGGTGGGACCAGCTCATAGTGGTCTCCACTCTTCTTCCGTGCAGGCTTAGCAACTTGCTGCTTCGGCCGCCACTCCTCCTTGAGCTTTTTGTTCGGAGGCGAGGCCGGATGGAGTGGCGGCGAAGGAATGATAGGAGGGTCCTGCAAAATAGGAGGTGTAGAAGGGTACACGACAGACTCGTGTACCTGATCAGACATAGCATTCACAGGCGTGACAGCAATCATAGCACATTGATCAAACTCAGTCACAGAAAAAGTAGCCTGTTCATCCCCAGCACGCAAGATCAACTTACCATCATGCACATCAATTAGTGCCTTGGCGGTGGCAAGAAATGGCCTACCTAGAATCAAGGGCACATCCACATCCTCATGTATATCAAGAATAACAAAATCAACAGGATATGTGAATGCACCAACACCAACAAGCAGATCCTCTATGATTCCCCTAGGATGCACAATAGAACGATCAGCTAATTGAATGCTCATCCTAGTAGGGCTAAGTTCACCTAGGTCTAGCATTTTATACAACTTATATGGCATGACGTTAATGCTAGCGCCTAGGTCCGCCAAGGACTTGCCTACATGCATGCTGCCAATAGTAAGAGGGATAGTAAAACTCCCTGGATCCTTGCGCTTCTCGGGCAGCTTGTTCTGCAGGATAGCAGAACACTCCTCGCTCAGCATCACTGTCAAGAGATCCCCAAGTTTCTTCTTGTTGGTGCAGATATCTTTCATGAACTTGGCATACTTGGGCATCTTCGACAGTGCCTCCATGAACGGTATGCTGATGTTGAGCTGCTTCAACATTGCCATGAACTTGGCAAACTCAGTCTCCAGCTTGTCCTTGTGTAGGCGAGTGGGGAAGGGAAGCTGGGGTACATGCTCCTTAATCACTGGTTGTGGCTTGGGAGCAGGGGCTTCCTTCTCCACCCGCACTTCTGCATCGTCGGCTGGAAGTGCTGAAGCACGCAGTGGTTCCTCCTGTCTGGCCGGGACAGGATCAGCAGATATGGTCTTACCGCTCCTGGTAAAAATGGCATCCAGCTGCTGATGCTGGTGAGGATCTCGAGGATTAGGAACAGTGGTGGCAGGCAGAGTCCCCGGTGCCCTGGTGGTGCTCTGGCGGGCCAAGATGCCCACCTGGGTCTGCAGATCCTGCAAAATGGCACCCTGGTTCCTCTGACCTGCCTCCAGTGAGGCTACACTCTGGTCCAACCTCGTGATAGTCGCCTGAGTGCTCGTCATGAATGAAGCTAGAATGTTTTCTAGCTTCGTCATCCTGTCATCTGGGGCTGGAGCTGCTGCTGGCTCGGCAAACTGGCGCTGGGGCTGCTGGAATGGCTGCCCCTGCCTAGGCTGGTAGGGCTGCTGTGGGTCTGGCCCCTGGCGAGCCTGGAAGGGCTGCCTCTGCTGAAAACCACCTGCTGGTGCTGGGAAACCAGGTGGTTTAGTGGTGTTGCTGCTCCAGGCGAAGTTGGGATGCTGGCGCCACCCCTCATTATATGTGCTGCTGTATGGATCGAGGCGCCTCGCATTGGCGATGAAGGCCAACTGCTCCTGGGGCGTGGTAGACTCCCTCATAGCCTGGCAGTCCTCCACTAGGTGATTGGAGCTCTCACACCACTGACATTGAGCTACTGGAGGTGTAGCCAAACCTCTGCCCGGAATCAGACTGTTGGGCTGCTTCAATGTCTGCACGAGCTCAGCTACCTGCTGCTCGAGTCCGGATCTGGACTCCATGGCGTGCACACCACGGTCCCTGGAATGTCTGCCTCTGCTACTCTGCCCCCAGGAATGATCTCTGGCAGCCAATGTATTAATCATCTGGTTCAGCTCTGGTGGAGTCTTAGTGAGAACATCCCCTCCTGGGCATAAAGACTCAATCACCCTCTGGCTATCTGGA